AAAAAAAAAAATTAATTAGTGGCGCTGTGGGCCACAGCGACTCTGTGTCGCTATAGGCCACAGCGCCACTTATATAAATAATTAAATCTATTTTTTAAAATTACGTTTTGAAATAAATTTTTTTTTATAAATATATAATAAGTATACTCAGTTGATTATTTTAAGGTTACATTTAAATTATTTCAGTTTTTTTTGTTTTTTTTTCTTAAATGGTGTCGCTATGGGCTACACCATCTTTGTTGGCTCACAAACTGTGTTGGTCCAGCCCATAGCGACACTGTTGTGGCTCATTCCAGCCATTCCTCCGCCAAAAAAAAAAAAGCCACGTGACATTGGTGTCGCTATGGGCCATAGCGACACCGTTGTAAACAGTCCCAAAGGCGTAAATAAATTCAAAACAGCCCATTTAGGTAAATAACTTGGTCAACGACCCTACTTTGGTCAAAAAGTCTTGATCTGTTGCAACCCTTTGTTTCTATGGTATTATAGGTTGAGTAATGGGAGGTACGAGAGTGTGCTACACCGAGCGACTCTCAACAACAAGGAAACTAGGATGAGTCTTGTGGTGGCAAATGGACCTGCATTAGATAAGGAAATTGGACCTGCACCGGAGCTGTTGGAGAAAGAAAAGCCATTGTTTAGAAGGTTCAAGTACCAAGACTACTTCCAAGTTCAGCAGAAGACACGTTTTGCTGATAAAAGTGGCTTGGACGAGATTCGACTTAGAGCTCAACAAGGATAGATAACTATATATATTCAAGTCTGATCCTTTGGAAAAGATTAGCATATAATTAATATTAATACTTAATAACTTGTGTGTTACTACTTACTGATATGATAATATTGATGCATTTGGTATGTGATCACTATGTGAAAATGTTATTGTTTGTTGCAAGTAAATTAGGAACATCATTTGTGGCAGAATTGAGGGCTGTACATAACAAGTAGAAGCTAGCAACTGGCATGGGGATTTTTTAACTAAGTGGATATTAGTTTTGGGTTAGAATGATTCGTTTCTTACATCTCAATTTGCTAAATAAAATAATTTGATTAAAGATTGAAAGAAATCATATGCCAGCTACCACTCGTATCCTCTTGTCAACTGTTTAAGTAAATCATGCCAATTATATTGTTAATTATTTTACTGTACTATGACCATATTATAAAAAAAATACATTGACATGACCGCAAGAAGAACTGGTTTGGAGCCAAATCGATCGATGGTACAGAATTTAGCTGCAGAAAAGATCCAGTTGCACAGGTGGGAAGGTATATGTAGCCATGCGAGAGTGGCTACATGATCACACCATATTTTAAAGAGATATTATTATGGCTTAACTACTTTATTTATATTTCTGGTATAATAATCGTTGATTTTCATCTCTCAAGTTCTAATTGCACTAAATAGGTTCTTCAAATTTTCTCAAATTTAAAATCATATTTAAGTTATTAATTTGCTGTAAGTAGAAAGACGTTTCTTTTGTTATTTATTGCTGTCAAAAAAAAAAATTTATCCACAAACATCATAACATGATAATTAATTCAATACAATTGGAGCACCTTTTGAGTCACATAATTCAAATATTCTGTGTCTTTAGTAGGTATATTATATATATTTGCTGTCATATCATTCTAAATTTTTAACACAAACTAATTCTTTAAATATTAGACGAAATCATGATAAATGGATATAACTGTAAATATGAAACTTAAACCCAAACAACGCAATTAAATCATAGAAGATCAAAAGTGTACAAACGCAATAGCAGGAGATCGAACTAAAATATAATTAAGCATATGTGAATATTAGGAATTTGAATAAATTGCAAAAAATACAAATTAATAAATTTAAATATATGGGCGTTATTGTTCAACTTTCATATCAAATACAAGAATACAATCTTTAACGAAAATTAATCATTATTTTTAATAATATATATTTCATATTAATATTATAGTTATTCAAATAATATAAAAAAATAAGAACTAGACTTTCATTACATTCAGGGAGTATTTGGTACACAATTTTATTTTACTTTTAGGAAAATCTGACATCAAGAATTTTAGTTTCTTGTGTTTGATTTATTATTTAAAAAATAACTTTCTTAAAAAACATTATTTCTTAAGAAATCCTAAACCTTAAACATTGTTTCTCATAAATAGATTCTGCATAGATTTTCCACGAAATGATGTTCATAAGAGAGGTCAAAAGTTAACTTTTAAATTTTAATGGAGTAAAAATGTTATGTTATCTTTATTTATTTATTTAATACAATAAAAATTCATGATCCTCAAATAATATTTAAATATATGATAAAAAATATTTATGATCAACTAAATAGATTTTTATAATTCTTAAAAATTATTATTCCAAAATTTATAATTTCATAATTTGTAAATATAATTTTTTTCGCGTAACAAACATTTTTAAGAAAGCATAATTCAAGATATTTAATAATTAATAATTGGAGAGCCACAAGCATAACCATTTGCCAGATTATGCATGAATTCAGAAATCCACATCCCTATAATGGGCCCAAAGTCGGTCCAGAATACTTCTTAAAAAGGGCATTCTAAGTTTATTTTTCAGAAGTATTTATAGAAGAGTAAAATAATTAAAAAAAAATCTATAAGTTAATATATATATATATAACTACATAAGGAGGTTAGGTTTGGGGAAATGGGTTTCGTAGAAGAAAAAAAAAGGTGCTTGGTATTGTGAAAAATAAAGTTGCAGGTAATATACAAAATATTAATTTTTAGTAATATTTAAATAAAATAAAATTCATATATATTCACCGTAAGAGCGCTCTCATGATTGATTAATGGTCGTTATTTGTAAAACCTTAAAGATCTTGTTATAATATTACTTCCTCTTCTTAGTGAACAATGACTCGAACGGTTGTTTTATGGCTAAACGACCATTTTAGAGCATTTTTACAAATTACTTATTAAAATGAGGTTGTTTTGAAATATATTACATTTTTGAGGCTGTTTTCTACGGTGTCGCTATGGTCCATAGCAACACCAGTGAACACCATATTAGTAGAGTTGCTGTAGCTGCTGGAGTCTCAAAAAATCCGGCTAAAACTGAAATCGCTATAGCCTATAACACCACATTTATATAAATAATATAAAAAATATATTAATATAAATTTAAAAATATAAAAAAATTATGTGAAGAAAAAACGAATAAAAATAACGTAATATAAGAAAAATAAAAAATAAATTGTTAAAAAATAATAGTTAAACTATAAATTAATAACTGAAAAAAATAACAGTGAGGCGCTATGACCCATAGCGATACTGAGACGCTATGGCCCATAGCGCCGCTTTTAAAATAATATATATTATTTTATAAATATAAAATTTTATAAATAATTGATAAAAAATTTCGGATAAAAGCGAAAAAAAAGAATTGAAATAAGAAAAAATATAATTTTTAAAAATTTAGTAATATAATGTGAAAATATTTTAAAAACGAAAAAAAAAAACCTGGGGCGCTATGGCCCATAGCGCTAGTTTTAAAAATATAACTATTATTTTATAAATATAAAATTTGTTTAAAAATTTATAAAAAAATTTGGGATAAAAGCGAAAAAAATAAATGAAATAACAAAAAATATAATTTTTAAAAATTTAGTAATATAATGTGAAAATATTTTAAAAAGTATTTATTTATTTGGATTTCTGCTGCTCGTGAGTTTCTTCGTTTGAGGTAAATTTTATTTTTAGCTTATATTTTTTTTATAATATTTAAAAGTCGCTATAGGGTATTTAACTTTGCATATTTTATTTAGTTAATAATTGTTATTTATTTTTTAATTCTGTATTTTGTTTCTGTTTAATCATATTTATTTTAAGTTGGTTATAACTGATAATTTATTTAGTTTTTTCTAATTATAATTAGTTTATTTGAATTAATAAATTTATTTTATATTTAAATTATTTATTTGGATTCTGTGTTATTTATGCAACATTAATTATCTGTTAAATTATTTTATTTATCTGTTATATTATTTAATTTTTAAATTTTATTTATTTTTAAATTAATTTATTTATCTGTTATATTAGTTATTTATATAAAATAAAAAATGTAAAAAAATATATGTAAATTAATTTTATAAATAATCCGAGTTAATTGCAAATTAATTTGTAGTGAAAAAATATTGTTTATAAAATAAATTATTTTTTTAAAAAAAGAATACAATTATTCGTAAAATAATTTTCTTAAATCTGCCATTTAATTTTATTTAATTAATCATATTTATTTTATAACTGATAATTTAATTAATTTTTTCTGATTATATTTGGTTTATTTGAATTAAGAAATTAATTTTATTAAATCTGCCAGCAAAATTTAATTAAATATAATATTTATTTTAAGTTATTTATAACTGTTTCAACTGTTATTTAAAATTATTTATTTTGATTCTGTGTAATTTTTTCTGATTATAATTAGTTAATTTGAATTAATAAATTTAATTTATATATAAATTATTTATTTGGATTCTGTGTTATTTATTTGAATTTTGATTATAATTAGTTATTTAAATTATCTGTTATATTATTTAATTTTGAAAATTAAAATATTTTTAAATTATTTTATTTATCTGTTTGTAGTGAAAAAATAATGTTTATAAAATAAATTATTGTAAAAAAAATAAATTAATTTTTTGGAAATTAAATTTATTAAATCTGCCAGTAAAATTTAATTAAATATAATATTTATTTTATATTTGTTACAACTGTTATTTTTTTTATTTTTTTCAGATTAATGTTTCTCCTTCCACCACAACAAATGCTAGAGGAAGAACATTGTTATTACCATCCTGTGTTGTGGCAATGAGCAATGTGCCTCGATACTTGCCATATAGATGAGTGTCATCAACTTGTATCAGGGGTTTACAATAATCAAATGCATCACAACACGGCTTGAATGTCCAAAATAACCTGTGAAACTGACGGTAACCACGATCACAACGATTACCAACGAAAAACTCATCATGACACAGATCATAAAAGGATCCTGGCGCAATTTCCTTCATGTATTTAAGCCACCGAGGTAAAAAAGCATAAGATTCTTCCCGATCACCAAATATTTTAATAATTGCTTTTTGTTTAGTCATCCAAGCCTTCCTATAAGATATCTTAAACCTAGTTTGAGATGTTATTCTCTCTTGGATAAGGCTAATCTTGATTGCTGGATCTTGGTTAACCATTCCTACATATTAAATATTCAAAATCAATGATATAAATTATTATTAATATAATATTATAAGTTGCAGTTGCAGAACTTACCTTGTATAAATGATGCAATTAGCTCAGAATCTAACTTATTATGATCTTGTGACAAAGACATGTTCAAACATGTATGACGTCCACCCCATTGAGTCACTTTCCACTTGTCAGATTTCTTTGACTCAATAGCTCTCATGTACCATGGACATCCATCATGCGCATTTGGACATCTAACAACCCACTTTGTCGTTTTCGATTCAACTACATAAAAACTCTGATGCATTCTCATTGCATTTTGCTTTACTGCATTTTTTACTGCATCTTTATTCTCAAACTCCAATCCAACATATAAATCTTCGCCAATAGACCAATTATTAGCCACATCCATCCCTGGGATTTCTTCTTCATCTGGATGACTCCAATTGATATTAGTGTAGTGAGGTAAATTACCCCAAAATTGACTTCCACCTAATTTAATCATAGTAAATATTTTAAATTCAATAATGTAAATTTAAACAAAATTTTTTAAACGAATAACACAAATTATTGACAAATTTAATTTTCAAATGTTACCTTCAGTAGATGGATACATTGAAATTGGTTCAACCATTGGACTTTGAACAATAGCATCTGACTCCACGTCACTATCAGATGCTTCACAATTATCGATTTCATCTTCATTTGATTCATCAATGCTTTCATATGACAATGAAACATGATAGTCTTCATCATCTTCGTCATCTTCATCTTCGTCTCTTGTCATCACCGGTGATCGTTCAATTGACAAATTTTCTAACGAAATTGTTGAAGATTCTAAGTTACCTATTTCAGCATGTAATTCCATTATTGGCATCACATTCTGACCCATAAAATCTTCTATCATGCATTGTACATCATCATCGTCACTCAATTCCAATGAAGAATATTTGTTCTCATCATGCTGTGAAACAACAAATCTATAAGTTACAGATAATATAACTTGATTTGACTTAAAACGAAATTTGTTGTGAATCATTCTCTTTAATATATCCAAAGTTAAACCTCGTTTAATATACATCCTTTTTTTTGGTCCATCAAATGTTACACCTTCTGAACTTTCATACATCCTTCCAGTGTAAATATAAGCTATAATTTGATCCATAATATCTGCAGAAAAATTAAAATATTAGTACAAATACATAGAACTTATTTAAACTACAAAAATTTCAATCATAAATAAGAATCTAAAACTCAAATTAACAGGAGCAAAGAACCAACCAGACTGACTTAGTGGATAAATAACAAATACAGTAACAAAAATAACAATTGCAATTGAGATATCGATGTGATTTACCATAACGGAGGGGGGATATATACTACAAGAGTCTCAATCACCTATAGCGACATCTACATAAATTATTTAATAAAATTTAAAAAAAATTGAAGTCGCTATGGGCCAAGGAACCTTTTTTTTTAAATTTTTTTAAATATTCCAATATTTGTTTATTTAATTTTTAAAATCAAATAATAACTTATTTATATTTTTTTACGTTTAGTTTTTATAATTAATTAAAATTATAATTAACATTTATAAAATAAAATAATTAACATAAATTATTTAATAAAATTTAAAAAAATTGAAGTCGCTATGGGCCATGGATCCTTTTTTTTAAATTTTTTTTTTATTTATTAAATTGAAATCGCTATGGGTCAAGGAGCCTTTTTTTTAAAATTTTTTTTAAATATTACAATATCTGTTTATTTAATTTTAAAAATCAAATAATAACTTATTTATATTTTTTTTTACAGTTTCTATAATTAATTAAAATTATAAATAACATTTATAAAATAAAATAAATAATAAATAAATAACGTATATTATTTTCTGAAATTTTTAAAAAAATTAAGTCGCTATGGGCCATGGAGCCTTTTTTTTTAAATTTTTTTAATTTTTTAAATTGAAGTCTCTATGGGACAAGGAGCCTTTTTTTTTAAATTTTTTTAAATATTACAATATTTGTTTATTTAATTTTAAAAATCAAATAATAACTTATTTATATTTTTTACGTTTAGTTTTTATAATTAATTAAAATTATAAATAAAATTTATAAAATTAAATAAATAACTTATATTATTTTCTGAAATTTAAAAAAAATTCAAGTCGCTATGGGCCATGGAGCCTTTTTTTTTAAATTTTTTTAATTTTTTAAATTGAAGTCGCTATGGGTCAAGGAGCCTTTTTTTAAAATTTTTTTAAATATTACAATATTTGTTTATTTAATTTTAAAAATCAAATAATAACTTATTTATATTTTTTTTACGTTTAGTATTTGTAATTAATTAAAATTATAAATAACATTTATAAAATAAAATAAATAACACATAAATAACGTATATTATTTTCTGAAATTTTTAAAAAATTTAAGTCGCTATGGGCCATGGAGCCTTTTTTTTAATTTTTTAAATTGAAGGAGCCTTTTTTTTTTAATTTTTTTTAAATATTACAATATTTGTTTATTTAATTTTAAAAATCAAATAATAACTTATTTATATTTTTTTACGTTTAGTTTTTATAATTAATTAAAATTATAAATAACATTTATAAAATTAAATAAATAACAAATAAATAACTTATATTATTTTCTGAAATTTAAAATTCAAGTCGCTATAAGCCATGGTGCCTTTATTTTTTAATTTTTAAATTTTTTAAATTGAATTCGCTATGGGCCATGGAGCCTTTTTTTAATTTTTTTTTTAATTTTACAATATTTGTTGTTTTAATTTTATAAATGAAATAATAACATATTTGTTTTTTTTTTGACGTTTTGTTTTTATAATTTTTTTATAACTTTTTTCATATTTTATTTATTAATTTTTAAAAACCAAAAATAATTTACTTTTTCATATTTTATTTATTACTTTTGTATTTTTAACTTATATTGCTTTTTTTTTTTTTACTGTGTCGCTATGGACCACGTGTTTTTTTTTAGTCTATTAAAGATGTTGAATGAGCCCATAGCGACTTTGTCGCAGGGAATCCGGCCCAACCCAGCCCTCAAAAAAAAATTCACGTGTCACTGGTGTCATTATGGGTCATAGCGATACCGTAGAAAACAACCCCAAAGATGTAATATATTTCAAAACAACCCCATTTTAGTAAATAATTTGTAAAACTGCACCAAATTGATCATTTAGCCTTATTTATTGTTTCCATCACTTTTTGTCATGTAATGCTGAATCTTCTTGAAAAATGTTTTTAAATCGCTTTCCATCCCTTCTCTTTCGTCTCACTTTTATATTTTATATTCGGCATTCTTAAGATTAGATAATGGTTAGGATAGGATTAGGCACAAACCAAAAGTTTAAAGAACATTTACATCTTCTTTATGTGTTTAACCATCATACACCGTCGGTATAAATATTTTCTATATCATGGATTAATAAAAAAAATATTGTTAGTATGGCTTTTTTTTATAAAAAAAATATAGTCGTAATGAAAAATGAATTTATATCCTCGTGCTTATAACTAAGCACAACTTCTCATTACCTAACCACTAAACTAATCCTAATGGTTTGTTAGTATGACTTTTAAAATAAATTTATAAAAATTAATAAATTTATCATAAATAATAATTTATCATTAAATGCTGTGTAAAATTATTTTACCCCGTTAATGAATAACTTTTTTTTTTCCTTCTCATTATTTATATGTTACCTAACACGATCCACTAAGTTAAGAGCTTCCGATGATCACCAAAGTCCTCTTTGAAAATTATTGCGTATCACTATCATTTTTCCTTTTCTCGTTTCATCGGTAACATGCAATTCTAAATGAGTGATAGTGACACGGAAAAATGACCCAAATTAAAATAATTATCGTATTTTATATATACTTCTATAAATTACTATGAATTTAATGATCACACACATTGTTAATAAAAAATTATCATTTATATGACTTTTAGTTTTAAGTTAATTACTGTAAATGTAAAAAAAATAATTATCATTTATATATAATAGATGATGATGTAAAAGTGTTCTACAGTACATCACTAGTAAATTCTTTTAATATTTTGCATTTTGTTTCTTTATATTTTTATTTAAACTTGTAATTAATTAGAATAAGATTTTGAGATTTTTTTTCTTTCCTTTTTGGTTTCGTTGTCTGTTTCCTTTTATGTTCACATGCATTCGTGTAAAGAGCTACACCTAGAGTGAATATTACTAATCACCAACCAAAAAGAATTAATAAGGTTCCAGTACACTTTTGAACTTATTTTTTAATCTACTATTTATTTTTTATAAAAATTATTAAAAATTACAAAAGTATGAATGAGATTCATTACATAAAAAGTGTGATTTGCAAAATTTTATAATTTTAATTTAATTTTAAAAAATATTAAATAACATTTCTAAAAATATGGGATTCAATTCATGTTGAAACCTTCAGTGAAAGATAGAGCTGACAATTATTTTGCATATAAATGTGAGAAATTTTAAATTCAAATAAAATTCAAATATGAATAGAAATTAAAATATAATTGATTGAAACCATATAAATTTAATAATTAAAAGAATAAAAATTGAAAATAGAGTATATCATTTTTATATTGAAAATAAATTTGAGTGATTAACAGTTTCAAAAATATAATTTTTAATTTTTATAAAAACATATATTTTATTGTAAAATATCTTACAGTTGATACAATAAATAAATGTATAGTTTTATTTGTAATTTTTATTTTTATTTTTTTATAAGACCATAGATATTTATTGAAGTAATCTTGTCCAAGTGTGATAAGAATCATAAGATCATTATTGAAAATAAAATCCTTCATTTGAGCATTTAATGTAACTATAAACTCAAATACTACAGTAAATAAGTTGAAACAAACTTGAAACATTTAATTCACGTAATCAATGGTATAAAAAAAAATACATTCAATAAAGAATGACAAAAGAATTAAAAGATATTTATAAGAAAATAATAGAAAAAAATATTCAGAAGAAATTAATAGAAAAATGACAAAAGAATTAAAAAATAATTTATAACTTTTTGACAATTAATAATACTTTAAAAAATATATAAATAAAATATTTATTAAATAACAATAACATTACTTGTTTTAAAGATGAAAGGAAAACAATAAAAAAAAAATTTATTTTGGATCTACTCTATTAGGCCCAACCTAGTTATCACGTGAACGGTGTTAAAACAAATGAAAAATATTTTTCTCATCTATTTATAATACTTATATTTACTACTTACTTT